GTACAGTTTCCAGGTCCCCAGTATTGGGCCTGTACCAGTGACTATCTTGTAGAAGAGCCTTAATAAACTGAGAAGACCTAAGTGATGTAAACGGCGAAGTCCGATGTCCTATTTTAGCCAACACTGCAATTCTGCAAACAAAAACATAGTCGCGGATAAAACAATCCCAGACACGCCTTCTGGGCCCCGATAGGTTAAATTAATCATTCACTCACTCAGTCCATCCAAATTCCAGGTCTGGGTATAACATTGCCAGACACCACGAGTGGTTTAAATTTTATAAAACAAAAATGTTTGGTAACAACAGCCAAAAGTTTTAGGGGTTTTTTTCTTTGCCCAGAAGTCTAATCAGTCAGGTCTGTGACTGTGAGGCTAATGGCCACCCATCAGGTCACTGAGACGGGGGAGAAGGAAAAAAAAAATGACAGAAGAGTTGGGGGGGTGGGGTGCACCAAACAGACACACAAAAAGACAACGGACAAACCGAATTAAGACTAGTGATCTGAAAAAAGCAGCCACTTAATAAGGTTACTAGACTTTTTAAGCATTGGTCTGTAAAAACAAGCAGCCAACTTAAGGTACCAGACTTCTCGAGCAGCTCCTAGAGAGGAGGAGCTAAGGGGAGTTAGGGCCATGTCTGACCCCCATTTTCAGCCCAACAGGGAAGACCAGGCTCACTTCAGGAGGTATAAGGCCGAAGACTCCCTAGGAATTTGGCTGTTTCCCTAGCAGCACTCAGAATTCTGGGGACCTGGTAGTCTCCAGTGCATGCCCCTCTAGCTTCCCTTGAGCGGCTGCTGGGAGGAGGCTCTCAGGACAGACACAGTGGTCTTTCCTAGTCAACACTAAATGTTTCAGATTTGAGTAAATAAAGGCCACTACAGTGTCCAATTATGTGAAGTCTATTTTATCAGGCTAGCCCGGACTGCAGACGGGACCTTTAAAGGAGCAGTCCTCCATACTGCAGTGGGGGTTGGTCTTTGACCATGCCTTTTACATCTAGAGAGCGAGCAGAATACAGAATGCAAAACAAATTAAAAATATATCACTAAGTAAGAGTATATTTAGTGAAGACTTAGGCGCCTTATTTTATGATCCGGTCTCCCTGGGAGGGGAAAAAGACTGCTGCTCTGATTGGAGAGGGGTAGTTGAAACAAGAGTTGGCCTTAGGACAATTACACACCTGCATTCATTGTGATGATAAAACATTACCTTGGGCCCAACTAGGGCTTTAAGAGGGGGGAGGAGGCTTTTGTGAGTTTCTGCTTAGCCTTTAGGTCAGGGGTTCTCAACCTTCGTAATGCTGTGACCCTTTAATACAGTTCCTCAGGTGGTGGTGACCCCAAACCATAAAATTTTCATTGCCACTTCATAACTAGTTTTTCTACTCTTAAGAGTCGTCATGTAAGTATCTGATATGCAGGATGTGTTTTCATTCTTACAAATTGAATATAATTAAAACAGTGATTCATCACAAAAACAATATGTAATTATATATTGTGACATATTTTTTCTAATTATGAATGAAATTGTGTCTTGTAGCATGGGTAACAGTCATAATAGAACAATAGTAAACTACATTGATACATTTTGCGCCAGTATGTGTAAAAAGCCAACTTTTC